CCCCCCCCCCCCCCCCCCCCCACACACACACACACACACATGTACATATACGCATCACACACACACGGCTACTGAGTAACATGTATACTTTTTTTTATGATTTGTCCCTTAATTGTGTCGTCTTTATGATACAAATATTTCCTAAATCGTTGTACATTGTTACGTTACCGATCCGCGCTTATGCGAAATTTACTTACATCTCTTCGCGATTGCTGCCTTATGACTAGTTAAAATATAGATATATTATAAATACTTATATTTTCATATATATATTTTTTTCATATATATATATATATATATATACTTCTTTTCTTCCTGTTTATATTTATATTTATATATATATAGTCTACTTAAATCGAGTTTGTTTAAGCTTTATTACTCATAGACAATCTGCTTGATATTTACAGAGATTAGATACAAAATTATAAACAGTTCTTAGTACAAAATAATTTTATGACTATAACGATCAAGGTTCGATAGCGTTAGAACAGGTTATGGGCAACCCACCGGTGGTTTCGGTTTCGCCGATCTCGAGTTTCTCCCTCATCCCTCGCTCAAAGTTCGGAAATGGGTCCTCCTTCGCGATCCCCGAGGAATGATTTCCCCGAGTCCCTTCGCGAGGGGGTAGAAAGAGGGAGAGGGGAACGTTCGAGATCATCAAGCGTGGCCGAGCGTTGCCCCTACCTGGATAGAAGATACAACTAGATGAGCTCTCCCCAGTTTTCCCGCAATTACCTGTAGACTCCCCCGCAATTCCACCGATAGAGGTCAACAATCAGGTATTATATCGAAATCATAGTTTGTCGTGTGCTCGCGCGGAAACAAATGTTTACTCGTGGCGCACGTATACGCGTGACGTGATTGTGGCGCAACATCGTACAATCGTTTTCATCGCCGCGATCATCCTCGTCGATCCTCCCATCGCGGCGCTGCTTTTTGTACACGATACGGTTTTCCACCTGATCGTCCCGATATATCACGCGACAAATGAGATTGACCGAAAGACAAATAACACGACGACCGTATACAGTGCGCGCGACTTGAGTCGTTCGCGGCGGAAGAAGGTACACCGAAATCAACGACAAGTACAGTATTCGCGGAGTTCACCAACGTTCGTTTCTGCCTTGAGAAAGCGTTGAGATTCGTTGCATGGTCGCGCAAATGATCGTCCACGTCGTGTTCGGCTGTCGTAGGCGAAGAAACGGGCGATGATATTCCTCCTATCGCGTGCTGAAGAAATTATCGTGCGTGTTTTTTTCCACCGATGAAAATCAATTCCCCCAGTCTGTGTGAGAACCGCAGTCACGCGTCTCGTGGAACAAGCTATTAGCGAAATGCTAATAAATACCGTTGCTCGTGGGTGGTGTTTCGAAGAAAATCGCGATCAGCGCTAAATATATCCCCTAAATCCCGAGGCAAGCGTGATTGTCGATCATGAGTGTGTTTAAAAATACATATACCGAAGGAATCAGCAGCGTGTGTGTGTGTGTGTGTGTGTGTCGCGATATGAGGGCTCTCGAGACGTCGTTGCAATTAAGGTTGAGCCTGTCGACACTTGAGGCCTTCAAAGAAACGAAATCTCGCACCGACCTAGCGTGTACACTCGTATATATTCCGGAACGCACGAGCCAAATGTGTCCGGCTGTCGCTTCTATCTCTCTCTTTCTCCCTCTCTTTCGGAGATATCGTGATTCTGAACGATTTATTACCCCGATGACGCCATTGGCAGAGCTCGAATTGTCCGCAAAGAATATAATCAACCACCACTGGAAAAAGGGCACACTAGGTAGAAGTAAGCTATCTAGATTATAATAGCGAGTCTTCGCGTAGGGAAAGGATTATGCGTGTTGACTCGTTCATTCATTGATTCGTTTGCGACTCATGACCGATTGTGTCGCCATCATATTTTGTCGCGATTTTCAAGAGATTCCGAAGCAGAGCCGCTTTCCGAATTTATGCGCTCGGTGGAGCTGTTTGGCCTAAATTGGTGAAATCCTCGAGTTCCCGATCGATTCTCGCAATTAGTCCGCGTTTCAAATTTCTATCAAGAGGATCAATCGACTTACCGTCTCGGCTGATTTGCCGGGAACCAAATTCGCGATGAAGTGGAGAAAAGAGAGAAAGCACACCGAGATAATCCTTTCGCCACGAAGATCTCCGCGAATTGGTAGGTACAGGTAGGTACGTAGAGATATACTAAATTATCACATGAGTAGACAAGTGAGTTACTCGTTAGCAGTAAGGGGCAACAATATAGCCAAAGGCAGCGTTATGCTTATGTTGGCGAATCTAAACGCAACTACAATTCGTTCTTTCTATTATCGTCTTCCTAGGTAGTAGGTAGGTAATGGCAGTCTGCTTCGGACTAAAAACGCGTACCGCAACGACGGCAGCTTGGTTTATCATTATTATTATTGTTTTCAACTCAGTCACAACCGGTGGCGAATTTAACCAATCGATCAACCGCGGTTCCTTGCGCGATGGCACAAAATTATACGTATATGTCGCGATCCGGTACTCTTTCCATCTTTTTCTCTCTCATTTTTACGCAAAAATTACGTAAATCACGTGTTCGTAATTAACGCTCGACTCACATCGATCGACCGGCGCCATTATTATTTTTATCTCGTTTCCTCCCCCCTCTGTCTCTTTCTTTCTAGCAAGATGAAAAAATCGGTGTTGCTTATGGTAAGACTTTAGTAAGCTACTCATCCCCGACATTGATGAAATTTTACAGGTACGTAGTATTAACTAAATGTGGTCGAAGTCACAAGTGCGAAGTTGCGGAAATGCCTAGTTTCCGAGAAATACAAATTTTAATTACTCGGCTTAATTAACGTTTTCCAACATTTCGATATGAAGAAATAATTAGAATTCAAATATATTTTGCAGAAATTTTTCAATTTATTAGCGTATTAGTAAACTAGGTAAATATGCCGAATAAAGGATTCATCCTTAATAATTTTAACCTTGGTATATGTTAATAACTGTGTTATTATTATTCATATGCTGATTACATTGAAAAATGTAAGGAAATGAGCTTCTTTGATTTCTTTTTTTTTATGACGTTCATATGTTGTCAACATTATATGCATGATTTCTTAATACATTAATAAAATATTTTTGAATTCTATTTATTTCTTCAAATTATTAAAATTTGAATTTCTCGGAAACAGGGTATTTCCGCAATTCCGCACAATATTTTACTACATTTAATAAGTATAAAATATCTGTAAAATTTCATCAAAATCGAAGGTTGGTAGCATTCTAAAGATAAGCCTTCCCTGTAAATCTCTATTATTTCAAAATTTACGCGCGCATGCGCGGATTCATCTGATCGTATATGTGCGTGTATATGTGTGGGTACGTGTGCAATTTTTGTTTCTTTTCTCTTCTAATTTTTCTGTGGTTTTCTTTTTGCTGTTCGTTCATTCGCTTTGGACACTCCACGGTCCCTCGGTGGAGGAGGATGTAGAAGCAATTCCAGTTACGTTTAAATTCAACGCGAGTACCTCAACTACGTGTGGCTATGCCTCCGTGTCATCATCTCTACTCCTTATTACGCGGTATTACGTTTAATTTATATAAATAGTATTTTAATGATATAACGGTAACATCGCCTATCCGCTAAATGTCTCGCATAAGTTTATAATAATAGTATATCCATCTGATGTATATAAATACGCGGAACCTAAAAAGGTATTGATTCGAAATTACACCGGAATACGATTGGAGACGGTGTTGTCTGACGCGTTAACGCCGGGCGAATTCGTCGTCGTCGTCATCGACAAGCGCCGCCGACGTGTTCAGAGGATGCGAGATCGTGTTCCCGTTTTCGGGTATCATTCCGTTTTTCTCCATTCCGATTCTCGTTGAAATTTCACAGCAAAGAACGTTCCGATATGTCGAACTTTCGTCGCACGTCCGTCACCTCGCGTCACGAACGTCTCGTCGATTCTGGAGCTAAACAATTTTCGTACGTTTCCTCTCATTCTCTTTTCTCATATTTTTCTCTTTTTTTCTCCCTCTGTCCGCACGTTAACACCGAATGCACGTGTAAGAGTGTAAAACGTGAAACACGCTCTCTCGCGCACGGACAGATACGATTCGCTTCTCGATTCCGCCCGGTCTCGTCCATTCTCTCACTCTCACTCTCTCTCTCTCTCTCTCTCATTTTTTCGCGAGAATCGCAATATGGATTACTCTCCTTACCAACCAATCAACTAACCAACCACACACATACGCACGCATACACATACACACATACGTAAGTGCGCCTATGTATATGTACAATATTCTAATTTTTTTCATTGATCCCGCCTATCGTTATAAAGTTACAATTATGATGTGTCATAGTGATGATACGTAAAACCTATTACTGATCTCCCGATATTGAGAACAGGTAGAACGCGTTTTACCCCCTTATCGCCTGTGTTCCTTCCGCGCACTTAAGTTATGAGACTTACGAGATACTCGGTCTAGAGTTTACACGACATCAACGTAGTTTCCTCCACGTAAAAACTGTGTGTTTTTTTTTATTTCGTTTAAACTGTTGATTGAAATAGCGACACGTTTCGAAGAAAACATTTACTATCGAGAAATCTTACAGTCACTCGACCGTCTTACCTGCCCCCGCCGCCGGTACAAGAGCTTCCTCTCTACCGCCGCACACCCTTCGACAGCGTACATTCTCACGTCGACTTATACGTTACACACTCTCCGCGTGCTATATTATTGTACGCGCTACTTATATGTACGCGAAAATTCGGATACACGCAGGCGAAAAAATAGCGTCTCGCGAAAAAGCGCGAGACGATTCTCTCGGTTCCCGCTCGATCGGCGATTACGTCGCTCGAAACGCGGCTACATGCACACGATCACGCCGTTCTCCGTCGTCTCGCGCGATATGTTATGCGTCTCATATGACGATAAAGGATTTCGCGATGTAAATCACACGCACGCACACTCGTACAAAGTAGATTCGTTTCACAATTAGAGATCCAGAGTACCTGGGACGATATTACGATATACACGTTCAAAGATAGCAAAAGGGAGTGATGATAGAGAAGAATAGAAGGGGACGTTTGGGGAAAGGGAGGGGAGGGAATGGACAGGGCAGGAAATAGGCATCCACTCGTTCACGAGTACACTCATATTTATAACGCTTCCTTTTCTTTATGATCATTAACTCGAACAGTCATCGTAATTTTAACGTCTAATATCGGTATAGTCGCACTATGTATTGCCGTACCGTCGATGTCACACTTCTCTCTCTCTCTCTCTTTCTTTGTTAAATCTTTCTTACTCGAAACGATATATAATTCTCATCGGAGAGAGATCCAGCTAATTATTCTTTTTGAGTAAACGATCTCTCCCCTATCTTTCGGGTATTGCGTGCGCTCTCTCTCTCTCTTTCTCTCTCTCACAATAATTGCCACGCGGCCAAACGGGATTACGAGACCCAGCCATCCTCGCAGGAATGTTCGTAGCTGTGTATTATCATTATTATATTAATTACACGCGTATTGCTCCTATAAGTCGTCGACGAGATCGCAGGATAGAGAGAGAGAGAGAGAGAGAAAGAAGAAAATTTTTCACGCGATCTCGCGTACTTCATCGTTGTCGTTGTCTCTCTTCGATAAGCACGCACATGCACGCGTCGATTCCCCGTGGATTACGCGTAGCTGCTATCATCTACGACGGGCAAGCTTTTTCTTTTTATTGTGCTCTCGTCCGATTGTCGTGTTCGCAGATTCACGGTCCGTCGTCTCGCTTTATTACTCTTCACTCTCTCTCTCTCTCTCTCTCTTTTTTTTCTCTCGTCCTCTTCCGTTTTTGTCGCCTGCTTAAGGGAAACAGCTCCGTCTCTCTGCTTCTCCTCCTTCCGGTGAGATTCGCACTTCTCGCGGCGACCAGGACTCTTCGAGGCTTCCGGAGAAGACAGCATCTGCGGCAAAGCAGCACTAGTAGTCACTGTTACTGGCGCCGCTATCAGGATCCCACGGAGGTCGTCGTGTCCTCGTGGTGCGCACGTGCGAACGATATAACAGTATAAATTCCGAGAGGCGTCGGGAGCCTCCGTTGGAGGGAGCGAGAGGCTCCTCCGCGCGCTTCCTTACTCTCCTAGCTATCCTAAGGGTTACTTCCTGCCCGCTACGGTATACTCGTTGTCCGAAGGTGCGCGACGAGGTCGCGGGACGACGGATTCCGGGTCGCACGGAGTAATAGATCCCCCGGATCCCGCCGTTTCGTCGAGACGGAGACGGTAACGGATCATCGCCATCGTCGTTGTACTTGTCATTTCGATGTCGCTTGAGCGAGATGCTACAACAATTCGCCCTCCCCGAGACGTTCGTTTCTTTCTCTCACGGAGGTTCCCTTCGTTGTTCTTGCCGCCTCCTCCTCCACCTTCGTCCCTCCGTTCCTCTGTTCATCCTCACTCGACGGTCACTCGGTGCCTGCGATTCCTCGATCGAGGACGCAGCCCGTCGTCGCACGCTCGCCGACCCAACGCTTCCGGGCCCGTCGCCGGCCCGTCCTGGAATCCCGCGGGATGACCGTGGAGAAAGTCGTCGTGCTCGCCGGAGTTGTTGTTGTTCGGGGCTCAATATCAGGACGTCGGCGCGTAGCCCAGGTTTTTCCGCTGCAGGAAGAGCGATATCTCGCGGAAGGTCGGTCTCTCGTTCTCCTCCCGCCGCCAGCACTCGAGCATCAGGTCGTAGATATCCTTGGAGGAGGCAGTGGGCCGCGGCAAGTAATCGAAGCCGTTGCCGACGTTGCTGCCGTTGCTGACGCCGCCGCCCAAATCCTCCTTGCAACTGTCTTCCGGGTTAACGTTGCTGCTGCCGTTGCTGCCGCAGTCGGCGGCGTGATGCAGCTGCCGCAGGCTCTGCACCACCTCCTCGTCCGACAGGTGCTCGTATGGCACGCGTCTGCCCAGGTTCAGGATCTCCCACAGAGTGACTGCAAACGCCCACACGTCGCTCTTCGTCGTGTACTTCCCCTAGAGAGAGCCGGGAACAATGTTAGTGTCTTAGCTGTTATCCTGACGTGCGACTGGAATTGTCAGAGTCGGCGGTCAACCCCTCGCGTTGGCGTTTAACCGACGGTCTCGTAGAATGCATGTGAATATATTTAATTTTCGGTGTATCTCAAGGTGCATTAGAGCTAATTTTAGTCTCTGAGTTCTCCTGAACAAACTTAAGGAGAGGTTATAAGGCTCAGTGTCGTATTTTCAGGTGACGCATCAAGGGAGCATCATCAATTTAATATTTATCGAGCAAAATTATGTTTCCATACATTTATTTACGAGCAGTTAGATAATATTTCAATACGTAATGTAAGTTTTATTGAATCCTTATCAAAATCATTTCACTTTATAATCCCCTTAATTGTAAGGATTGATTTTCAATAATTTTTATTTTTTCTCAGAGATTTCCAAAGAGAGAATAAAGGAAACAATTTATTAGTTTCCTTTTCTACTAGAATAAAGCTTATTTTACCTTGTCAGATGCCGATTACAAGGTGTACGTTCAGCTCGCGAAAGCACGATGTCGGAAACGTGATTCCATCGCGAGGGGTCGAATAGCCGCGAATAAATCGTCACGTTGTCTCGATATGTCCCATGGGAAAATGATCAGAAGCTGTTGAAGCTTACCAGAAATATTGACTCCCAAGCCATCCATCGTACTGGTAACGGCATGGCCCCGTCCACCTTGTAGTAGTCGCAGGAGTATAATTCGTTGTCCGTGCCAAAGTCCGAGATCTTGATGTGGTACGCCTTGCCAACCAAACAGTTCCTGCACATAAAATAATCGTATTTACATAGAGAACACGAGATTCTATCTCTTCATTAATTTGACTTCATTATTAATATGTAATATTTTAGTGATGACATGTACACACATTTAATCGTTTATTATCCACATAATATTTATTGCAGTATTCTATTAATTAATTAATCTTGTTATCTTTATTCATTATTAATTCTACGCGAAATCGCGACCTTTGTGCCCGCACTCGATTTTCCGACATTCGATAGTCTCTGGCGAGTTATTAATTAATCCATTTGCATCATTAGAAAATTTGGAAAATATGACTATATTATTGAATTGTTTTTCTTTAGATTGATGTGACTCAATTAATCAATTAATTCAACAATTGTGATTTGGTCAGCAGCTGTATCAACGCAATGTATTGTCGCGCCAAAGCGCAATTTGTTTAGTGGACAATATTTTTTCGAATGAAGATCACCGCCGATTTTGGCTGCGTTCCAATATTCACTATCGGTATTGAAAATCTATAGTATGCGTACATGAACTGTAGATTTTCAGTATTGGCAATATCGAAACGCAGCCTTTGTCGATTCAACCGCTTTCCTTTTTCTGAGTGTACACAGAAAAAAATTGGTCTTAAATCAAGAATAGATATTCCCACACGGAAAATAATATTCTGCTGGCACAGCAAATTTGATGCTGTCGTAGCAAAATTTGTCAGTTACTTATATGAGCAGCAAGACGATTTGATAAAAGTATCAATTGCCATTTGCTACATTATTTTGCTGAATCCACAAGTTATTTTGTTGTAGGAACAAATTAATAAATGCAGGAAAACACTATTTTACCTTAACAGCAAATTAATACGCGCTAAAATTCATTCAGCAGAATATTTTCTATCCCGGTAACAAAACTGTTTCTGCTCTGATTACGAGTATAATTCGCCAAATCGGTGTGCCAGCTAAATTTTATCGCCGTGTGCAACGAATGTGCAGTAACAACGATACTTTGCTGCAACAGCAAAATTATTCTTCTTCGCGTATCCGCTTTCGGATGCAAGCGGGTTGATTCGCGAGCGTGACATTCGAATTGGAAGAACAGCCGGAGTATTTCCGCGGCGAATTACGAATTACGGGTCGCGCACGGACGCGCGCTATCGGCTGAATCGAATACTTTTCCGGGTGATTCGGTCGAAACGAAAGAGACGCGTGTAAAGCCGGATCGATCTTCGCGTCGGTACGCGCGGAGTGCATAGCGCGCCCGCCAATCTGCATACGCGCACGCATTCTGTGCATGGCAGTCAACCGGAAGCGAGAATGGTTGTCTACATGCAACATTTGCTCGCGAATGTGGTCGGGCCACGTTTCCTGCCCGAGCACACCGGGGATGCGCGCTGCAATTGTATCGGACGCGTGAATAAACCTCGTGGCGCGCGCGGATATCGTCCGCGCTACGATCGTCGTAAATCGTTTCCTATGAGGGAGGAAGGGCGATAGCGGTCCCCGGGAGAAGCGTTTCTCGTCGGTGGGGCGCGAAGTACTCGCGAAGACGAAGCGATGTATTTTTAGACTTGACATCGCGGAGAGTGTTCGATCAATTTCTGCATCTGTACAGGCGCGCCGACGTTCCTCGTGGAAAACACGACGCGCGCGAGAATCGAAACGATAACTTCGTCCGACAAAAATGCCGAGATCTGAGCGACTCGCGAGCCGTGATTCACAAGGAGAGGAAGTTCCGGCAAATCATGCCGCACGGATGTAATTAGATAACAGAACCTCGTATTCCCTCCGAGTCGAGTTCAGTAAAGTTTAATGGAATCATGACTGGCGACACGCTCGTCGAGGCGCTCGGTGTGCTTTCGAGCCTCGGGAATTATGGGTGAATAAAAGAAGGAGAGAAGAAAAAAGAGAGAGAGAGAAAGAAGCGCACAAAACGCGCATGATTAACCCTTCGACCGTCCTTCGATCCGAAAAGCCGCACGTACCGTAAACAGGTTCATATTGGCTCTATACGATTTTTCAGGTCTCATATCTGAAAATCTGTGAAAGGAAAGAGGTTGACAAAATTCTAAAATAAAGTAATTTTCCTACTTTACTATTTGATAATGCATTCGAAAAAAATCAAGTTTTAAGTTACTGAGAAAAATTTGAATGTAGACAGTGGTCTCGCGAATGATAGTGTTTTATGTAAAAAATAAAAATTCCTTTTTTATTATTTTAATTTCTGTAACTGCAGAGAGATGAAATTGAAAGACGGTTCGAACAGTAAAAATATAACTCTAGTGCGCGTTCGAAAAACGTATTTTGTCGGATCACTGAAAAGAATATTTTAGTGAAGTGTCGAAAATAGGTGCTTTTAAGGGGAAAAATATTTTTGTTATGAAAGTACCAAAATAACTTATTTTTTTACTTTCAAAATGGTAACGCGCATTGTTAAAAAAAATAATAAATTCTTTAGAATCATGCTTTGCAAAACGCACTCGCGTAGGTTACACGCCATTTGTTTTTACACCGACTGCACACTATAACCAACCTTGTGTTAATTTCAGCTCCCAAACATTAATCGGCTTATCAAATTCGCACTACGTCTAACGGGCAGAGCGACTCTCGAACGATTTTTCGGGAGAACTCAGATCACATATTTTTCTTTGCTGCAGTTCTTCAAGCGCAACTCACCGGGCCTGTCCGACCCATAACTCGGTCGAAGGGTTAAGAACGATTTCGGTTTCGAGCACAACGAGACGCACTCTCGTCACCGCCACCGCGGCCACTGCACCTGTTGTATCGATCACTCCGTTGTGTGTTGTGGCGCTTTAAAAAATTCAGCGCGATAGCACGTGTAAATAACGAGACGACAACGTCGGAGCGTGGCGTATCGGGGGTTATGAATATGCGGAGCCGTGATATTCCATTCATCTAAATTCGATACTGCGAACGCGCGTACGCGGTCGGGGAGATACGGTTGTTATTTAATCTTATCACGAGTGCGTTTGATATTTCATCTACTGCTCGTCCTCCTTTGAGTGGGCTCCACCGGCACTAGATACGTTCTCGGGCGCATTCCCCGGAGGAGAACTTAGAAGCCGGGGATAAGCATTCATGCAACTCCGTTTAAAGCCGCCTCCAGACATTGACCAGTTCGCTTTAAAGACGAACTAATCTTCGCTATCTGGGAGAGGAAGGGAGGGGGAGAGAGAGAGAGAGAGAGAGAGAGAGAGAGAGAGCTCGGCGAGCAAACGTTATCCGAGAAGCGCGCACCGGAGCTATGGAATAGATAGAATCAATTAATTTCGCCGGCGGAACAAAGCTCCAATTTGGCGGCAGAACCTGGTTAATTAGGGGCGCTTTATCGATCATTGCTATTGGCTACTTCGCCATCGGGCTACCACCGCGTCGATGGGGTTGACCCCGGTCCTAGCCCGATGTTGCCAGAGTACGACGGTAATGCAATAAGCCGCGTTCACGCCTCGCATTGAAGCTGTTGCAATATAAATCAGACGCGATCATCTCCGGCCAATAATCCGCGGTCGGGACTTCAATCGCCGCTCGTTAATTTGAAAAATGTTCGGCCGATACGCGAGGCGGGGACTGCGGCTCGCCGATAGCCCGAAAGTTAAATCGTCACCCGAAGAATTCGCGATAGTTTTCCGCGGTATTCCGCAATTCTACATCGAGAGAGAAAAGTGATGCCGTTCAAGTGATATTTTATTTGATCCAGGTAAAATGACTACTGCAATATTCCTCGGCAAATATTTATTAAAAGTAGTAATATAATGGATTATATGTGTAATGTGAGATTTTCTTCGGATAAATAAGCATTTGTACTTGTATGCGTTAAAATATGTTTGTTAACTCAACATTTTGTGTTGTATTGATACTCAACAATATAAGTGTTAAAATAACACATTTTATACTCCAATCAGTACTTGTTGCGCGACACTAAGAGATCTCAAACATTTCATAGAATTACTCGCCGATCTAAATATTTACATATCACTTAAGCAAGCATTAACACGCTAAGAAAGCGACACACCCAATTTAAACAATACCACCTAATTCCTGCTGATAACCGCGGGCGCGCTAAAATTGGATAGCGCGCGTATCTTGCGCTAAAATTCCCGGCGATATATTCGTTGACTCGGCTTTATCGACCGGTCCGCGCGAGCCGTCTAGATTTATTAATTTAATACACACACGATAATATATCGCGCAATTTCATTATTCCTCATCCGTTCGCCGCGTCACGCGTTTATTAGCAGAGCGAGATTCACAGATTCGGATGTTTACCGTTCGGAATTACCATCGAGAGACTCGAGGGTGTCGTCGAAGAGACGATATCGCGGGAGAGGAGACGGTTCGAAGTTGAGGTATGAGGTGAAAAGTGATGAAAGGCGGTTTTCTTCGCGTCTGTAATCGAAATGGGAACAAAGGCGAGTTCTCTCTCCTCTCTTTCTTTCTCTTTCTCAAGAAAGTAGAGTGCGTCTACATCTAGCCCGCGTCGACTTCTTCGTCGGATAAGGAGAATCACCACCCTTCCCCGCCATTGTACGAGTCGCGGAGGTTGAAGTTAAACTCCGGGAATCGCTCGGCCATTTGACGCGAGCACGGCGCTCTATTGTCGATAGGGAACGAGAACGTTAAGTGTACTCGGCCGATTGGCGCGGCTGTATAATTGAAGCAGCTGAGGTTCCGGCGTATCGATGTCGAAGCGAAGCGGGAGGACGTTCGGCCAAGTTAAATTGAAAGCTGAATATTGGATATGCTCGTTGCAAAAGAAACAAGCGGTCCAACGGCCGCTCGGTGGAAGGGAGGAAGGAAGGGCGGAGGAAAAGGGAGCGCGCACGGGAAAAGGCCGCTCTCTTTGAATTTTTAATCGGTTTCCCGAACACGTAAGCTCTTGTCAGCGAAGAATAAAGCTCTCTCTCTTCCGGGTCTTCGGTATCCTCGGAGGATAAAGGAAATCGCGGCCTCTTCCGTCTACTGTCTATCTCTCTCCCCTCTTCTGTCTCTATTTCGCTCGCTCCA